TTAGAAATGGACACCAGCAACTAAGGACGATAAAACTTCAGGGACTCCAGTGACATGAATTAAGGGGCAGAGGAGGAGTGTGGTCAGATCATGCTTCTGTGCAGTCAGCCCTTTCCTTTTAGAGTATCCATGCCAACGAATGGAACATCAACTGCGAGTTTTTAATATTTGCCCATATGTATAAACATTATGCCAGAAAAACTGGATAATCACAGTATTAGCATTTACATGCTATGCGAAAAGTTCTTACCATGTTAGAATCCATAAGTTCAATTAAGATTATGATATAATTATGAGTATATATGCATATAAATTTAGCACATTTCAGAAGGTTTGTGGATTCTGGGAAGCCATTCCAGAATCCGAGAACAGGAATCCCTAATCCATTTCAGAAACTATCAAACAATTCAGGTCATGAAAGCAGCTTATTCCAAGATTTTTACTCCTGCTACACTAAATTTGGTCATTTATAAACATGTTGACTCAAAACAAAGATATAAGTTATCTGGGGCAGATGTATTAAAGGGAGCTATGGGTCTCAATTTAAAACAAGGGAAATAACTTAAAATATGTAAAGTTTGAACATGACATTTAAAAAAGAAAGGAAAAAGGGAGGGTTTTCTGCCTATATTCAATCTAACACAGAGAAAAATAAAAACATAAAAGTCAATCCAGTGAAGCACCACATGCTTAGAATATTAGAGAACAAAGAGTTACCCTAAAAATACTGCTATCAGTTTTCATTAATATAGCAAGTAATATTCATAACCACATCTCTAAAAAAAATTTTTCAGGGCTGGCCCCATGGCTCACTCAGGAGAGTGCAGCGCTGGTAGTGCCGAGGCCGCAGGTTCGGATCCTATATAGGGATGGCCAGTGCGCTCAGCCAGTGAGCATAGTGCGGATGACACCGTGCTGAGGGTTGCAATCCCCTTACCGGTCAGAAAAAAAAAAATTTTTCCCTTGCATCTTCAAAATAAGATAAAAATATGCTACAAAAGAATAAATAAATGATTTAAAATTTTTAAAAACTTCTTTTCCCACTAAAGATACTATATGAGATTTAATATCTAATATAAAATGGTGAGAGAGATAGTATTTAATGAGGTCCTGCATGTGATCAGTAATGTCTCAACAACTAGGTAGGGGAACAGA